AGTGAGTGAGTGCAAGCCAGACCTTCCTTGTTCTTCCTCTTGATAATGTCCTGAGCTCTGATTCCACTCCATTGTTTTCCTGTCTTCTCTCCTTTTTCCTGTCTCTTTTAGCCACCCCCACCTCACTCTGTCTCATCCACTCAAAACAGCCCTCCAGGTTCCCGACAAAGCCTCCAGTGCTGACCCCTGTAGAATCCACTTCACACCCAGACACTTCTACCTTCTAGTCTCTAGGCCAGGTTCCCACCGCATTTCTTACCTTTCTTCTTGCCCACTCCAAATATCATCTCTCCCTTCTTTGTCTCGCTGTAGCATAATGTCTGTGCTCATGCTGTAGCCTCACCCAGATGTAAGGCCTAGTGAATAATTAGTCAAAATAACTCCTGCCCCACAACCAGAAATAATCTTTTATCCTGCATCTGTATATTCCTTTAGACACTTCCTCCTAAATGATAGATGCATTATGGTCTTCCTTTTACCCATAGCTTTCTGCTTTTGCTTTATTTTGCATATTTGTATCTTTATAGATGTCAATCTCCTTGATAAAGAGAGCTGAATGAGTTCACCCTTCAAAGTCCTGGGCAAGCTAGGCCAGTGTGTGGGTGGTCACACTGTGGGCACAGAGAGAACACATGCATGGCAGATTTCGATTTGAAATCCTGTTATGTCACAAGTCACTGTAGTCTTTGTTAGTCCTTTCTCCCAGGTTCCCATCCTCTAATAGAAAGAAAAGAAAACCTAATTTACAGTATGTTTATGTAGATCAAATATGGTGACATATGCAATGCATATAATCTAAACCAATAGCACCTGGCAGAAATGTATTAAGTATCCATTATTGTCATTGTTACTATTACTATAGGTATATACTATCTGAAGGTGATCTTGGTTCATCTTCTAGTATTAATGAGCTTCTTTTAACTGTATGGCTAATTTCTAGCTGAATAAAACTGAAGCTAGAATCTACCCATTAGCTTTACCATTAAATAGAAACCTTTTCTCATTACCTTCCAGAGTTTTATTACTAATTTTTTTTTTTGGTCTTAGAACATTTTTCTGGTAATTGCTTGCTTTTTCAAGTTTCACCTGACAGAGGCCCAATTGCTGCAAGTGTTTATGAAAAAAAAATTAGGAAAATGTTCAGTCCTCTCCACCCAGTCCTTTTCCACACTATTTTACAATCCAGAATATGAATTAAATTCCAAATGGTTACAGTTAGCAGAGCCAGCCATTTGTTAGTGCCTAATACACTGGAACACTGGAGGGGCTGTCTTGGCCTAGCAGGTTTCTAACACATCCTGTTTTTCACACATTTGTTAATTTTTATTGGATGTCTGTGTTCTGTCAAAATCCAGACAGATGGCAGACTCAAAAATACCTGACCATTGTAACAAAGCAAGTAATAAGGGGTTGGGATTGTAGCTCGGTTGGTGGGGTACTTGCCTAGAATGCACAAAGCCCTGGGTTAGAGCCTCAGAGCTGTATGTACCAGGTGTGAGCATGCAGGAAGGCAGTGAAGGCTGAGTAGGTTCAATATCAGCCTCTCCTTTGTACTGAGTCTGAGGGCAGTCTCAGAAAAGAAGTAAGAGAATTGAAGTCTCCTGAGTAACTTATGAGAAGAGCGTCTAGTTCTTAAGTTATGCTTTCATGGAGCATTAAACGATACAGTGCAGACTATTCTTTTCATTGGGTGTCTTGTGCTTCTTTTTTTCTGTTGAATTAACATCCCCAGAAAATGATTCACTGTGCAGAAATTTTCTCAGTTTTCTTCTTCCAACTGAAATAATGAACTTGTCAACAGCAACAAAATTCAGCAACAAAACCATCAAGAATTGGTCATAGTTATTTGAGGCATCGGTGTCATCCCTCACACTGGGAAAGACAAAGTTAGAAACCAGCACTAGTGATGCACGTAAGGCCCAGATTTTGACAGAAGAATGACACATTGCCGGAGACCCAAGTACCAGAGGAGGAAAGGATGTCTGTGTCTGTTGTAACAGCTAATGCTACTGGTGTGGTGTTCTTGGTCATGATGGTCAAGGCCAACCACTTACTAGGCAAATTGTCAGAGACTGTGTAATTCAATGTTCTGCATTTCATGTATTTAAATAAATCCTATGAAGTAAGTGCAATTATTTTTGTTTGGTTTATGGGTGGAGGAGCCAAGACTTGAACAAATAGCCTTACATTATCAGATCCTCAACCTGAAGTTGAACCCACTCTCTACTGCTAGTCCTAATGCTGCACTGATAGACTACTGACTTGGTCCCTGAGGCCAGAAAAGAACTGTTCTCTAGAACTGTAGCAGCCCCTGGACAGAGCTGGACCATCATCAATCTGACCTTGTTTGAAGGGCTTTAACACAGCTCCCTTACAGAGTGACAGAAGACAATTTTGCTGTAAATTGCTTATAGCAGTGGTAGCTCTTAACTGTCACAGAAAAAGGAGGAAGATAAAATGTAAGAGTAAAATACTATGTTTCTTGAAGCTGGTTGCTGGAGACTCTCCATGCCAGCCATCTCATGCCCATGTGTTATACTATAGACTAGAAAGCGAAGCAGAGGAGAATATTATCACAGTTGGTGGGTGGACCCTGGACCCTATATATTTGTTTAATATCTGTATGGCTCTGCAGCTGGGAAGACTAGCCAGCAACTCAGAGGAGTAAGACTAACAGCCTCAAAGCCCTTTTTTAGCAGGTATCTATCCTGCTTGAATTTGATCTTTTAACAGCTTTGCTTCAGGTTTAGCTCTTAGTATCCACTCCCTATGATTACTAGCCATTCGGTTAACACTCTGATAGACATATTCCCTACATTTAACTAAATAACGACCCAAAAAAATATAGAGGCTTGTAAATTGACTAGTGACATCATTGAGATAGTTCTGCCTAACAAAGCAAACATGGAAACAATACACCATGAACCTTACCACTGAAGTAAATCTGCCATTGGGAATATAGGATTATATACATGCCCGCAGGTGAGTGTGTGTGTGTGTGTGTGTGTGTGTGTGTGTGTGTGTGTGTGTGTAGTAGTAGTAGTAGTAGTAGTAGTAGTAGTAGTTCATGTTTTATAAAATCTGTTCTTGGGAACATAAAGTATAAAATTACAAACAGAGGTAAAGTTTTATACTAAGGGAAAAGTTAATTCAAACATCAGTAAAAATATATTTTATTGACCTTAAGACATTTCCACATTGTAATTTCCTTGAAATAAGAAATGCTTCTTAAATGATGGCCCTTTATAAATCCAGCCAACCACAAATGATGCCTGAGTATAGTGTCCCTTTTAAAACATGAAAGAGGTGGTGTCATTAACATGAGAGAGATATCATTTCTGTTCATATTTCCTGACTTTGCTGTGGTTCTGTAAACTCCCGAGCCCTTCCATGGACTGTATAACTATGAGATCTTCTTCCTGCTGCTGTTTTTACCTCCTCTTGAAGGACAAGGACTTCCTCTACTTTGTTCAGTCGCCCCAGCCTCTTGTTGAATCTGACAGCCAGCCATGTGTCCATCTCCAGTTCCATGTCTTATCCATGCCCTCTGATAAGACAGCTTTGACCGAGAGGACCCCATGTCTCACTCTCAAATATCAGATCTCAATTGTAGTGGTATTTTCTTACTTAGGTTTCCTTTGGCCATTTTATCTAAAATTTCAGTAGCCTACCATTTTCTTTCCAGTGTTAGTCTTCATTTTCTGCTTTAGCTTTTATACTAGCTGATGCTTCATATTTTATTTATTTTGCTTATAGTTTGTCTCTCCCCAGGAGAAAATAAACTCTAGGAAAAGCGAAAAGTTTTGTCTAATATCTTCACTGCTGAGTCTTCTAGTCCCAGAGGCATGCCTGGCACAGACAGGACACTTAATAAATTATTCTGAGTTTATTAACAAACCATACATATGTGAAATATGTCTCAGTGTGCTTAATCTAAAGACTAAACCAATGTCATCATGCTCCAAGTTTGGTAGGGACGAGGAAGAAAAATGTAAAGATCACAGTAAGCCTGTTTAATCAAGGATGGACTCGAGGTCAGACATCTTGAGATTGTAAACTTGCTTGAGTGTCCAGTGTGCTAGATATTTTTATGTCAACTTGACACATGCTAGAGTTATCTGAAAGGAGAGACCCTTGATTGGGAAAGTTTATTCATAAGCTCCAGTAGAACATTAGTGATTGATGGGGGAGGGCCCAACCCATTATGGGTGGTGCCAACCCTGGGGGTGGACCTGGCTTCTATAAGAAAACAGGCTGAGTAAGGTATGGTGAGCAAACCAGTAAGCAGCACCCCTCCATGGCCTCTGCACCAGCTCCTGCCTCCAGGTTCCTACGCTGCTTGAGTCCCTGTCCTGACTCCCTTCAGTGATGAACTACAGTGTGGAATTGTAAGCCAAATAAACCCTTTCCTCCCCCAACTTGCTTTTTGCTTACAATGTTTCCTTACAGAAACAGTAACCCCAAACTAAGACATCCAGTTACCTAAGAAAAACTGTGTAAGTTATCTGCATATTTGAAAACATAATCTCTGTGGCTGGTAAAAAATAATTAAAAATTTCAAGCCAGACCTGAAAAGGTAAAGTGAAGGAAGAAGCCCAGTATCTTTTAACATAAACGTAAGTAGTATCACCATTAATGATAGTGATCATGAGAGTATGAGTATAATTCTTTTCCAGAGGTGTTCTATTCAGTTTTCTTTGTTTTGTAAAGAGTGAAATTGAAGCACAGGGTTTGAGATCTTATCCAAACTGCTCGTGTGGCAGACCTTAGAACCATTCAACAGTGTCTACTGAATGCAGTGTGCTTTCCAATTTTAGCTACTATGCATGGTCAGTTCTGATGACTTCCCCACCCCAAACAGTTGCTGGTTTTTTTTTTTTTTTTTTTTTTTTTTTTTTTTTTACTTTCTTAATGTAATGGTCAGTCTATGTGGACTCAGTGAATTCTCCATGGGGTGAGACCACACACTTCAACTTACCTTTCTCTGTGGCCTGCTTCAGCTTACAGAAGACATCGGAAAACTTGAAGACAAAGTGGAATGTGCTAACAATGCCCTGAAAGCAGACTGGGAAAGGTGGAAGCAGAACATGCGAAATGATCTCAAGTCAGCGTTTACAGACACAGCCGAGGAGAACATCCGCTACTATGAACAGGTAAGCTGTGCTTCCTGGTTAATAAATGGGATGCTCTTGACTGTCTACCTGCCCCATTGAAAGAGTCACCGCCACAATCCAAAGCCTCCTTGGTGACTTCCTACTGGCTTGTCGTCCCCTCCCCACACACACACACACACACACACACACACACACCATTGATTATTCTGGAAGGATTTGCATTCCTCAAGAGGGTGGAATGTTCCTGATGGTTTGTTTAGTTTCCCCTTTTCTGTGTCTATCTCATAAAGAACTTACAAAGGAAGAAAAGGAGCAGACCTTAGGAGAACAAAATCAGTCCAGGCTGCCCCTGAAGCCTTTGTTTGTGCTATCCCATAGCTAAAAAAGCAGCGTGGGAAAAGCAACTGTTCTATGCATCTATGCCAGAGAACCAGGTATTTGGGGGAAGGTGTGGTGGTGCTTAGTTAGCATTTTTCTTTTTGAATAATCCTTTTTAAGTTTGCAACTAACTATTCCTCAAAGAAGTTACTTTCTCAAATGAATTTCATAATGTTATCACTTTTCCACCCCCACATAGTCTAAACATACTTTCCTGGAAGAATATTTAAAATTTAGGTCTCTACCATTACCTCTAACAAAAATAACAAGTATATGAAAGTGATAGGTTAAGAAATTTATGCTATATACCTGCAATAATTATCATTTTTAAAGTACTTTCAATTTAAAAGTTATCTGTTTTGAAAGATGAACTAATATGGATATTTTCATAAAATGAGAATTAAATGAGCACTTACTGTCAACCAAACATTCATTATTCAGGAACCCCGAAGAACGGACATAACACAGTCCTTTTCCCATGGACTTAGAGTTAATATAGGAAATGGTTAAAACAAGGGATCCTAAAAATTGCAATTCATGTTCTAGTACAGAAAGTCATTGCAGGGAGAACCCTAATATAAGGATGGGATGATCCTCAGAGAATAGGTTGAAGCTGAGCTCTGAATGTTGAATAAGACACCTCCACATCAAGATGTGAGAAATCAAGGTACAGGTTCCACAAACCCGTGAACAAAAATGTAGAAGTGAGAGACATATTTAAATCATTTGTCTTGTTGGTGGAAGTAAAGGTAATATTGAGTTAAAGATGAGTATAAGTTTAGTCTCCTCATTCCTTCTAAGGAGGCCATTGTATTTTTATCTAAAGATATATATCATCTCTCTCCTTATTATTGATCTGGCATACATACCCTTTAAGCAATTCAAATATCTGAAAATGTCTGTAAACCTCAGGTTTGAATGATATGAAGTATTTATCCTTAATATTTTTTTTATCCGTATAAGGCATCAGCATCACAACTGTTTAAGTCTGTAGTGTTCATGACTTCTCCTTTGTGTTCCAACCTGGGCATATTTACGTTATGGACTCTTAGTGACAATCTGCTGAGATAGTGCATCTGAGCATGAGTTGTGGAGTTGGACAAGTGCTCAGAAGTTAGGAATATGTCTTTTTCTTGCAGAGAACATGAGTTCAGCCCCCAATACCCATGTCAGGCCACTCACAGCTGCCTGTGGATCCACCTCCAGGACATCCAATGCCCCTCTTCTGGCTGCATGAGTACATGTGTTCATGCACATACACACACACACACACACACACACACACACACACACACAGAGGCATACAATTAAAAATAGAAATTTTTTTAAAAAAAGAAAATGTCTTGAAAATGACAATATGTAATAAAAATGATTACTATTGTGAAGCATAAATATATTAAGATATTAAATATGACAAATACAACTAACTTTTTAAAGGTAAAGTCTGTTGAATTTTCCAAGTTTGGATTTTCTTTTGTTTGTTTGCTTCCATTTTGAGACAGGGTCTCACTGAGTAGCATTATTTGGGAGAATTACTGGGTTTTGTTAGGATAACTTAAAAAGACCCTGCTCAGGACATTTGTTGTTGTTTTCTCAGTGACAACGTTCAACATATCTGGCACTTCAGTCTACCAATGTGGGAAAGGGAAGTTGGCGTCCTTAAATAATCAAGAAGTCTTAATTAGTAGAAAAGCTGTGAAGGCCTTAAGATCAGCTGTGTGTTATTATCTGTTAACTTCAGACTGTCTCAGATATATGGAGAAATGAAGTATTTCATGATCTTTTCATCCGTTTAATTTAATCACATTCTCACAGAAATACCTCCTTTTTCTTCAGCATTCACATATTAGATAAATCCCCAAAGGGTCCGTTCCTATTGAAGAAGATAAAACGGAGTTCACACATCTGCCTTTGGATTTACTCATGTGAAGGGAGATGATCTCAGCTTGTATAACTTTAAATTTAAATATCAAAACAAAAGACAGGGAAATGAGATTGTACATATGTGGAGTGGGTCTGAGTCGGACTGTAGTGATCGCCATTCTGAAATATCACACCTACATTCATGAATTTGTGAGAGACATTTGACTCTGGCCTAATAGTGGATACATAAAATGTTACTCCGTTATTTCCTACATGAAACCACACCCAGCTTGGCTAGTACAGGCATGCATATGTTTGCTTCGGGGCTCTGTTCTGCACAATGTGTGTCTGCAGGCACTTTCACTGCTCTGAGAACACTGAAGTGTGTTTACACAAACTAAGATGACAGGAACACCGCTAGGAGGTGGAATATTATGGGAATGCCACCAGGTGGGCACTCTGTCCTTGACTGAAGCGATGTGAAACAGGACGTGATTGTACAACAGCATCCACAGGAAATCTTGCTAATGTGGTAATGTGACAGGGATGTTGAAACAGTACAATATGGCATGTGGAAATAAAGGGAGTGGATGTTTTTCACTGTTCCCCTCTAGGTAAAAAAAAAGACCTTGTGTTTGGTTGCTCTCAATGCTTATTATAGAGGTGGAGCACGTTTCAGAAGCCTTTGATCCTCGAGAGAAACAATGGATGAGAAGAGTGCATTCTTTGGAACGCTTTAGTTTAGTATCAGTGAATCTACTTAGCCTTCCTATCTCCTCTTACATACTCTTTGGGGACATTGTGGCAGTGCAGTTAGTTTCAAGGTAGCTTTGGAATGGCTCTGGGTTTGCCCCGAACTAGAAAGCAGAACAATGACCTTTCGAGTGGGAAAGTAGTCTAGGGACATCACTGTTGTTTCTAAGGAGTCGACAAGCAGCGGTGATTTCCTTCACCGCTCTGTTGAAATCCCTTTTGTCATCAGAATGCCTTTCCTTTCTTCGTCTCTAATACATCAAGGGTAGCCTGACAGTAATAAAAAGAATAGGGACTTCACCAGAGGTGCCTGAAGTTGTGCGGAGGGGTGGAGTTAGTGAAGGGATCTGAGTTCCAGAACAGCTGTCGCTCATGGCACTCTTCATACGCGTCCAGGCTTCCCTCAGCTGAGGACTGTAATGGTCAGCCCTGCTCTAAATGTCACAGGAAGCAGCTCCCTTGGCTTCCTCTCCAACCCCACCTCTACACCATCCCTCCCAAGCTCCCAGCAATGGGAACTTGCAATGGTGGTTTTTGTCGAGTTAAACAGGTGATGATTAAGTGAAATGAATAAATACACTTTAGTCCTTTGCAAAGTTTGTTTTAGTATTACTAGTTGGTATATAAAAATCATTGTTTTATAGTCTATTGTTCTAGTTAAAAGGAAAAAGGAAAATGCATACTTACTGAAAACAAACACATACAAATTAAATAGTTATCCTACTGTAAAGAAGAAATAAAGGTTCACAACCCTATTTCCTACAGAATAGTAGATTTGAATATAATTACAGAAAAATATTGCTAGCATAAGATTATCATACTAATTAAAAATGTTTATATGGCCCTTTCTTAAAGTACCCACAGGATACATTATTTATTTTAGGCCTTGATAATTAAAATGAATATATTTGTTTTTTCATATTTTTCAGTTGTTTTTTTAATTAATTTTCAATATAGTCATAATTTTCATGTAAATATGAATATAAATTTCATATTTGTAAATCATCATGGGATTAGATAATTCTTTATACTTGAAATTTGGTTATCTTTTTTCTATCATAAATAATACTATTAAGATTGTTATGCTGGCACATGGATGTGAGGAGACAGTCAAGGAACAGGTACTTGTGAATAAGGACTGAGAGAACCTGGATGCCAGCATGGACTTGGATATGCTGATATGTGCCACAGAGATATATGTCACTGGAGAGCCATGTGTCCATTTTGCTAGGGGCAAGTGAACCTGTTTCACAATTTCCTGAGGAATGCTATCTTTTATCTAACAGCCAGAAATCCTTCTACAGTCCAGCTTGAATTGAGCCTAGACTCAATACTGGACCAAATCAGTGGACCTGCCCTTTTGGGAAGAAAGGGTATATACCCTTTGGACCTGACATCATACAACTGCAGTCCAAACTATTTGCAAGGCTGGGACAGAAATATTTAAGCACTTGTTTAATAATAATAATAATAAACTCTTAAGATAATTATGAATATTAGCTGTTTAAATTTGGGTAGTATGAATTTTAAATAACCAGAGCACTGGTTACTGCATTTCAAATGCAGGCAGGAAACCTGAGGCAGAGAAGTAGGGTATGTGGCAATTAGAAGTAAGGACAATGGAAATGAAAATTGACAAAGAAAATCCTATATAAGGAAACTCATTATTTTATATACTAACTTTAAAATAAATAAAAAAGAAATGACTCTACTATTATCAGTTATGAGTAGTCCACATTTATAATCACTAGATTATCGTATCTTATTTTAGAATGTCATTTTCCTCATGTCAAATGATTTACTTAAGATCCCATTATTGCCCGGTATGGTGGCAAGCACCTTTGAATCTGAAGTAGCGGATCATCTGAGTGAAGAAAGGGAATGAGACAGAGCAGGGCAGGGGACATATGGTGAACAGCTGTGGAGAGGGGACAGAATAGAACAAAGTACAATGGCACATATGTACAAAAATGTTATAATGAAACCCAGTCCTTTGTATACTGACTTAAAAAAATCAATAACAAAAAAGATTCTGTTATCAAAGC